CCTAAAAACACTTTAGCGAGGAGGCCTTCCTAATTGACCTGGCCCAGGTATCCTGGATGTATATAGATCTCATTCCGTCAGTAGAGGATGCCTGGTTGTTCCTTAAAAGTAATTTCCTCTCAATCTTAAATAAACATGCCCCATTCAAAAAATACAGAACTAAGAACCGATATAGCCCCTGGTTCTCCTCAGACTTGACTGCCCTTGACCAGCACAAAAACATCCTGTGGCGTACAGCATTAGCATCAAATAGCCCCCGCGATATGCAACTTTTCAGGGAAGTTAGGAACCAATATACACAAGCAGTCAGGAAAGCAAAGGCTAACTTTTTCAAACAGAAATTTGCATCCTGTAGCACTAACTCCAAAAAGTTTTGGGACACTGTAAAGTCCATGGAGAATAAGAGCACTTCCTCCCAGCTGCCCACTGCACTCAGGCTAGGAAACACTATCACCACCGATAAATCTACAATAATCGACAATTTCAACAAGCATTTTGCTACAGCTGGCCATGCTTTCCATCTGGCTACCACTAACCCGGCCACCAACTCTGCACCCTCTGCTGCAACTTGCCCATGCCCCCCCCGCTTCTCCTTCACACAAATTCAGACAGCTGATGTCTTGAAAGCGCTGCAAAATCTGGACCCCTACAAATCAGCTGGGCTAGACAATCTGGACCCTTTCTTTCTAAAACTAGCCGCCGAAATTGTCGCAACCCCTATTACTAGTCTGTTCAACCTCTCTTTCATAACGTCTGAGATCCCCAGAGATTGGAAAGCTGCCGCGGTCATCCCCCTCTTCAAAGGGGGTGACACTCTAGATCCAAACTGCTACAGACCTATATCCATCCTGCCCTGCCTTTCGAAAGTATTCAAAAGCCAAGTTAACAAACAGATCATCGACCATTTCGAATACCACCGTACCTTCTCCGCTATGCAATCCGGTTTCCGAGCTGGTCACGGGTGCACTTCAGCCACGCTCAAGGTCCTAAACGATATTATAACCGCGATTGATAATAGACAGTACTGTGCAGCCGTCTTCATCGACCTGGCCAAGGCTTTCGACTCTGTCAACCACCGCATTCTTATTGGCAGACTAAATAGCCTTGGTTTCTCAAATGACTGCCTCGCCTGGTTCACCAACTACTTCTCAGATAGAGTTCAGTGTGTCAAATCGGAGGGCCTGTTGTCTGGACCTATGGCAGTCTCTATGGGGGTGCCACAGGGTTCAATTCTTGGGCCGACACTTTTCTCCGTGTATATCAATGATGTCGCTCTTGCTGCTGGTGACTCTCAGATCCACCTCTACGCAGACGACACCATTTTGTATACATCTGGCCCTTCATTGGACACTGTGTTAACAAACCTCCAAACGAGCTTCAATGCCATACAACACTCCTTCAGTAGCCTCCAACTGCTCTTAAACACTAGTAAAACTAAATGCATGCTTTTCAATCGAACGCTGCTGGCACCCGCCCACCCGACTAGAATCACCACTCTCGACGGGTCTGACCTAGAGTATGTGGACAACTACAAATACCTAGGTGTCTGGTTAGACTGTAAACTCAACTTCCAGACTCACATAAAGAATCTCCAATCCAAAGTTAAATCTAGAATCGGCTTCCTATTTCGCAACAAAGCCTCCTTCACTCATGCTGCCAAACATGCCCTCGTAAAACTGACTATCCTACCGATCCTTGACTTCGGCGATGTCATTTACAAAATAGCCTCCAACACTCTACTCAGCAAATTGGATGTAGTCTATCACAGTGCCATCCGTTTTGTCTCCAAAGCCCCATACACTACCCACCACTGTGACCTGTACGCTCTTGTTGGCTGGTCCTCACTACATGTTTGTCGTCAAACCCACTGGCTCCAGGCCATCTATAAATCACTGCTAGGCAAATCCCCGCCTTATCTTAGCTCATTGGTCACCATAGCAGCACCCACCCGTAGTCTGCGCTCCAGCAGGTATATCTCACTGGTCATTCCCAAAGCCAACACCTCCTTTGGCCGCCATTCCTTCCAGTTCTCTGCTGCCAATGACTGGAACGAATTGCAAAAATCTCTGAAGCTGGAGACTCTTATCTCCCTCAATAACTTTAAGCATCAGTTGTCAGAGCACCTTACCGATCACTGCACCTGTACACAGCCCATCTGAAATTAGCCCACCCAACTACCTCATCCCTATATTGTTATTTATTTTGCTCTTTTGCACCCCAGTATCTCTATTTGCACATAATCTCTTGCACATCTAGCATTCCAGTGTTAATACTATTGTAATTATTCTGCACTATAGCCTATTTATTGCCTTACCTCCATAACTTGCTACATTTGCACACACTGTATATATATTTTCTGTTGTATTTCTGACTTTATGTTTTTTACCCCATATGTAACTCTGTGTTGTTTTTATTGCACTACTTTGCTTTATCTTGGCCAGGTCGCAGTTGTAAATGAGAACCTGTTCTCAACTGGCTTACCTGGTTAAATAAAGGTGAAATAAAAAAATAAAAATAAAAAAGTCATGCATGCATACATTTTACATATGGGTGGTCCCGGGAAACGAACCAACAACCCTTGCGGTGCAAGCGCCAAGCTCTACCAACTGAGCCATACAGGACTATACATTTATACATTTGTTAAGTATTGGGATGACATAAATGACAACTTAATTAACTTTGTAGATCTCTTTTTAATTTGATAATTTTTGTTTCTGTAGGAAATACGTCCACCTTTTCATGGATTAAATCACAAAATAGACAATTCATTGGGTGATTTCATGCAAACACATACATCTATAAACTTTTGGACATAGCATAGTAGCTTTTAAAAGCGTTTTTATAATTTGACACAATTCAATTAAACATTACAAATGACTGTTTTTTTTTGCCTTTGCAGCTCTGATTGAGTTCCTTTTACACTGGTGTAAAAGTTAATCATGTTTGCATAACATATGCACGTAACAAGCTTGGAAAAACCTGAAACTAATTTGTAAGGGCAGAGTGCCACAAGATCATTCACTATTATACAATGCCGACAAAAATGTTTGTTTCTTTGCTAAAAATATGTTTTTAACGAAAGTATATTCACAATATAAATCCTGTGTAATAATCAGCGATTACTAAAAGGGTTTGTTGTTTTATTTTTTATTATAGGTTATAAAAAATGCAATCGGATGTCTTTCTGAATGAAAACAAATCTTCAGACTATTGCTATTAAACCATTATGACAAGTCATGCGGCGTGTACTCAAGAGGAGAGCGTTTAGTTTGTTGTGAATATTGTTTGGTGCTCAGGGTAGTCACTCCCTCCCTCCCTCCCCTTGTTCTAACAGTTCAAGGTCTATGGCACTTGACAGCTTCCCCCCCCAGTTAATATGATCCAGCATAGAGCAAAGAGTCCATGTATCTCAACACAAAAAGAGATTGAAAAGCATGATGTCTAAAAATATGTTATTTTATACAGAAAGGCAAACTGTGGTTGTTTTCCGCCACTTAAAAAAATTGTTACAGACAGAAACCCCTTTTCAATATGAAAGCGTTGTGAGTGTTTTCTAGTCACCAATGGCTGCCTTCAGGGAGAAGCCCTTTAGAATCTTACCAACATGAGTGAAAGGGGACCTATACCTGCTCAGAGTCTGACACAAGCTGCATCTGAAATGACACCATATATCCTTTGTATACAGTTCACCACTAGTATGTAGCGTGCTCTATAGGGAATAAGGTGTCACTCCCACCAGCACCTCCAACACATGGGGTGTAATCATTAGTCCAAACAGTTGAAAAACTGAACTTTTTGCAACTAAAACAACAGTTTCCATTGGACACTTTCAGCTAGGTCCCTCCCTGTTTTGTTCCGTTTGCTTCCGTTTAAGAAATGTTTTTCAACAAAATCAGCGTAATGAATACACTCCTCGCCATGGTCTGCACACATGCTTAGCTTACCTAACTTTACCACTCCGCCTCCTGACCCACTCTCACATCACATCCTGGCTAGGCTAATTAAGGCCAATCAAAGGCATTCCTCTCTCATGATCCGTTCCATATCCCAGTCCCAATTCCATTTTACATACAAAGAGCGTTTTACAGCATCCAAGTAGTAAATAGTCGGCACCCGGGCGGTTGATTCAGTGATGAGTGAGTGTCCACGTCCGTACGAAAGGATTTGTTCAGGAGTTGAGAGGTGAGTGACCGCACAGGCAGTAGTCTATTCAAGTGAGGGATATTCCAAGCCAGTGGTGCCATGGAGGCTACGGAAACTGCTCCTATGCTAAAATGAGGACAGTATAGATACTGGATGTAGGCAGTATGGCTCACAGGTTTTATGGAGGCAGAGGCAAATAAATTGTTCTTCTGAAATATCCACCATGTACAGCACCCGTTCCAAAAACTGTCACAATTGTAAGTAGGAAGGGGGGGAAATTCAAGAAAATAAACTCTGCCCGAAAGCGCAATCCAGTACTACATTCGTCTCCACAAGAAAGCAAATAACATTGTCCCCCATATCACATCTCAGCTAGATCAATAAGTGGTTTCAGCATTCTTAAAACAAAAAAAAACATTACTTAAAAATAAAGGCAAATCAGATGTAAGCAGAGAGAGAGAAAGAGAGAGGGGGGGTAGCCCTGTCCTCTAGTGGTCAACTACAGTTAATGCTCAACTACAGCAACTAGAAACTCTGCAATGATGAAGGTGAATTATTTTCTTTGAAAAACAAAACTCTTTACAGAAAGCAGTCTTTACAAAATCTCTGTGTCATTGGAGCACACACCATCTCGGCTGCGTCCTCTGAGTAAAAAATAACCGGGCTATCCCACAGTGACGGCTTCTTTAAGACAACATCAATGGTTCGGGCCCCCGTTATCCCAAAAGCTCTTAAAGGTTCTCTTCACCATAAAGCAGTTTTACCAGGCTCCTCTGTGTATAAAAATAAGAAGGAAGTGGACATTCAGTTCTCGTGTGGTTTTGTCTGGATCGGAGGTCACGGTCCTGTCTGTCTCTCTACGCTGTCACCTCTCGGACGATGATCATATTCACAGTGGTGGGAAACGTCTTCAGCAGGGCTACGGCGTTCCCGTGGTCAATGTTCACAAAGCTGTATCCGTTCGCCTAGAGGATCTTGTCTCCAGGCTGGAGGATCTTTGAGACAGGTCCCTCAGGCTGGACCCTCGTCACGAAGATGCCATTATCGTCCGGACGAAAGGGGTTTCCCCGTGCTCCCACTCCTCCTGATATACTGAACCCTAACTCAGGGTTCTTCTCCACTTTCACACGGATCTCCTGCTGCAGTGTGTCGTGGGCGGCCCGAGATGACAAAGCAGTGTTAGTTCTGGTGATGACGACAATGTTCCACATGTGAGAGTCCATAATGCAAACAGAACTTAACGAGATCATGCAAAATTAAAGGGAAGTTACATTTAGTGTATTCAGACTGAAGAACCCCTAAAGCCATCATACGGACAGCCCGCCTCTGGAAAAAGCGTAATTTAAACCCAATAACCGTTGCCTTAACGGTGAATTCAAACTTGTGCTGCTGATACTGTGAAATGCATGTTCATTGCTTCTCCGTAGGCCAGGAAGAGTCGGCAGACAGGATTCTTGAGCAGACCGCACGCTGAAGGGTCCTGATGCCCAATATGAACTGAATCCCAGCTATTGGGAGCAGGATAAGCAGTGCTTGACTTGGGATGGAATAAGTGCAGGAGCTGTCTTTTCCAAGTCGGTTCATTAGACTATGTTCACCGAAATTCACGAATGATATTAGAGACCTCTGATTATTTACTGTTAATGGTTTATACACATTTTCCATGACTTCTCCATGACTGTTAAACCACATTTTCATGACTATTATTATAGCCTACATGAAAAAGTAAGCATTTTGACACTGGAAAGCCTGCTGTGTCTGATCCTATGTAGACCTAGGTTAGGTAGGGCTACTTCAAAGCGAGGTATCTAACTAGACATGTTTATATGTAAGGCTCAAATATTCATGTTTCAGGGAGATCTATGCACATCAAGTTATTTGTCCATTTGAACGTTGTCGCAATTACATGGCTACAGTTTTAATAGAGGGGAATCCCAGCTTTCCAACAGTGCAGATTTATTTAGGCTCTACAGTACCGGTGGAAAGGCGACAACGAAATGAATGCTTAGTTAACTATAGTTAACTAGCGAGATAACTTGTTGCAGTTATGTTTTGAATTGGTGATCTAGTTAGTCTGTCATTATTTATACCTGCTGCTGAAATGTCTCGCTCGCTCTCCTCAGGCAACGGCCCACTCGCACTGGCACACATGCAGCACCACATACATGCACTGAAGGGTCATTCCGATAATGGCTGATATGTACTTTTTTTTATTGATTGATCATATTTAAAAGTGTGCTTTCATGAATTATGAAACTAATTTCCATGACTACTAATTACCTCACAAACACTAATTTGACAATTTGGAACAGCTCATCATGCCATTCAGGCTGGCGCATTTTCAATCTGCGCAATCTCGTACAACCTACTGTCACGCACAGATTCATAGACTAGCAGCAAATAAACTTGAACAAAGCGGAATCAGGAAAATGAATGCCCACTCTCCATTGCCTATTTCAAGGAAGATCCCGCCGATCATTCCCTTTATCAACCTGTTTTGTCCTCGGTTTGTAATCTGTGCCCGATAGGCTACTGTGGTTTATAGGGACTCATATGAATTTCCCCAAAATGTGCCCTTATCGACATCGGAGACACCTTTGTACTCTGGCTTCATTGGCACGGTTAACCAACCTCAACGGTCAATCCCATACAACACTCTTCAGTAGCCTCCAACTGCTCTTAAACACTAGTAAAACTAAATGCATGCTTTTCAATCGAACGCTGCTGGCACCCGCCCCACCCGACTAGAATCACCACTCTCGACGGGTCTGACCTAGAGTATGTGGACAACTACAAATACCTAGGTGTCTGGTTAGACTGTAAACTCAACTTCCAGACTCACATAAAGAATCTCCAATCCAAAGTTAAATCTAGAATCGGCTTCCTATTTCGCAACAAAGCCTCCTTCACTCATGCTGCCAAACATGCCCTCGTAAAACTGACTATCCTACCGATCCTTGACTTCGGCGATGTCATTTACAAAATAGCCTCCAACACTCTACTCAGCAAATTGGATGTAGTCTATCACAGTGCCATCCGTTTTGTCTCCAAAGCCCCATACACTACCCACCACTGTGACCTGTACGCTCTTGTTGGCTGGTCCTCACTACATGTTTGTCGTCAAACCCACTGGCTCCAGGCCATCTATAAATCACTGCTAGGCAAATCCCCGCCTTATCTTAGCTCATTGGTCACCATAGCAGCACCCACCCGTAGTCTGCGCTCCAGCAGGTATATCTCACTGGTCATTCCCAAAGCCAACACCTCCTTTGGCCGCCATTCCTTCCAGTTCTCTGCTGCCAATGACTGGAACGAATTGCAAAAATCTCTGAAGCTGGAGACTCTTATCTCCCTCAATAACTTTAAGCATCAGTTGTCAGAGCACCTTACCGATCACTGCACCTGTACACAGCCCATCTGAAATTAGCCCACCCAACTACCTCATCCCTATATTGTTATTTATTTTGCTCTTTTGCACCCCAGTATCTCTATTTGCACATAATCTCTTGCACATCTAGCATTCCAGTGTTAATACTATTGTAATTATTCTGCACTATAGCCTATTTATTGCCTTACCTCCATAACTTGCTACATTTGCACACACTGTATATATATTTTCTGTTGTATTTCTGACTTTATGTTTTTTACCCCATATGTAACTCTGTGTTGTTTTTATTGCACTACTTTGCTTTATCTTGGCCAGGTCGCAGTTGTAAATGAGAACCTGTTCTCAACTGGCTTACCTGGTTAAATAAAGGTGAAATAAAAAAATAAAAATAAAAAAGTCATGCATGCATACATTTTACATATGGGTGGTCCCGGGAAACGAACCAACAACCCTTGCGGTGCAAGCGCCAAGCTCTACCAACTGAGCCATACAGGACTATACATTTATACATTTGTTAAGTATTGGGATGACATAAATGACAACTTAATTAACTTTGTAGATCTCTTTTTAATTTGATAATTTTTGTTTCTGTAGGAAATACGTCCACCTTTTCATGGATTAAATCACAAAATAGACAATTCATTGGGTGATTTCATGCAAACACATACATCTATAAACTTTTGGACATAGCATAGTAGCTTTTAAAAGCGTTTTTATAATTTGACACAATTCAATTAAACATTACAAATGACTGTTTTTTTTGCCTTTGCAGCTCTGATTGAGTTCCTTTTACACTGGTGTAAAAGTTAATCATGTTTGCATAACATATGCACGTAACAAGCTTGGAAAAACCTGAAACTAATTTGTAAGGGCAGAGTGCCACAAGATCATTCACTATTATACAATGCCGACAAAAATGTTTGTTTCTTTGCTAAAAATATGTTTTTAACGAAAGTATATTCACAATATAAATCCTGTGTAATAATCAGCGATTACTAAAAGGGTTTGTTGTTTTATTTTTTATTATAGGTTATAAAAAATGCAATCGGATGTCTTTCTGAATGAAAACAAATCTTCAGACTATTGCTATTAAACCATTATGACAAGTCATGCGGCGTGTACTCAAGAGGAGAGCGTTTAGTTTGTTGTGAATATTGTTTGGTGCTCAGGGTAGTCACTCCCTCCCTCCCTCCCCTTGTTCTAACAGTTCAAGGTCTATGGCACTTGACAGCTTCCCCCCCCAGTTAATATGATCCAGCATAGAGCAAAGAGTCCATGTATCTCAACACAAAAAGAGATTGAAAAGCATGATGTCTAAAAATATGTTATTTTATACAGAAAGGCAAACTGTGGTTGTTTTCCGCCACTTAAAAAAATTGTTACAGACAGAAACCCCTTTTCAATATGAAAGCGTTGTGAGTGTTTTCTAGTCACCAATGGCTGCCTTCAGGGAGAAGCCCTTTAGAATCTTACCAACATGAGTGAAAGGGGACCTATACCTGCTCAGAGTCTGACACAAGCTGCATCTGAAATGACACCATATATCCTTTGTATACAGTTCACCACTAGTATGTAGCGTGCTCTATAGGGAATAAGGTGTCACTCCCACCAGCACCTCCAACACATGGGGTGTAATCATTAGTCCAAACAGTTGAAAAACTGAACTTTTTGCAACTAAAACAACAGTTTCCATTGGACACTTTCAGCTAGGTCCCTCCCTGTTTTGTTCCGTTTGCTTCCGTTTAAGAAATGTTTTTCAACAAAATCAGCGTAATGAATACACTCCTCGCCATGGTCTGCACACATGCTTAGCTTACCTAACTTTACCACTCCGCCTCCTGACCCACTCTCACATCACATCCTGGCTAGGCTAATTAAGGCCAATCAAAGGCATTCCTCTCTCATGATCCGTTCCATATCCCAGTCCCAATTCCATTTTACATACAAAGAGCGTTTTACAGCATCCAAGTAGTAAATAGTCGGCACCCGGGCGGTTGATTCAGTGATGAGTGAGTGTCCACGTCCGTACGAAAGGATTTGTTCAGGAGTTGAGAGGTGAGTGACCGCACAGGCAGTAGTCTATTCAAGTGAGGGATATTCCAAGCCAGTGGTGCCATGGAGGCTACGGAAACTGCTCCTATGCTAAAATGAGGACAGTATAGATACTGGATGTAGGCAGTATGGCTCACAGGTTTTATGGAGGCAGAGGCAAATAAATTGTTCTTCTGAAATATCCACCATGTACAGCACCCGTTCCAAAAACTGTCACAATTGTAAGTAGGAAGGGGGGGAAATTCAAGAAAATAAACTCTGCCCGAAAGCGCAATCCAGTACTACATTCGTCTCCACAAGAAAGCAAATAACATTGTCCCCCATATCACATCTCAGCTAGATCAAATAAGTGGTTTCAGCATTCTTAAAACAAAAAAAAACATTACTTAAAAATAAAGGCAAATCAGATGTAAGCAGAGAGAGAGAAAGAGAGAGGGGGGGTAGCCCTGTCCTCTAGTGGTCAACTACAGTTAATGCTCAACTACAGCAACTAGAAACTCTGCAATGATGAAGGTGAATTATTTTCTTTGAAAAACAAAACTCTTTACAGAAAGCAGTCTTTACAAAATCTCTGTGTCATTGGAGCACACACCATCTCGGCTGCGTCCTCTGAGTAAAAAATAACCGGGCTATCCCACAGTGACGGCTTCTTTAAGACAACATCAATGGTTCGGCCCCCGTTATCCCAAAAGCTCTTAAAGGTTCTCTTCACCATAAAGCAGTTTTACCAGGCTCCTCTGTGTATAAAAATAAGAAGGAAGTGGACATTCAGTTCTCGTGTGG